TGCTCCTGATTTCCCGCTGTCCCCGGGCAAGGTTGCAAGCATCATTCTCAATCGAAACGCGCACAACCACTAGTTAGTCATGGGACCGCGTGCGGTGCGTCGCTCGCAACCGGACTTGCCTCCCGTAGCGGGTCTTGCCGCTCGCGGCCCTATAGCAGTTATGGTTGTTGTGTCCATCATGATTGTTGTGTCCATGCTGGTCGGAGGTCAATATTGACGTTTGATGCGCTGGACAGCGCCCGACTCGCGCCCGACGCGTTCACGCGTGCGTCGGGAAAGCGTCATCGTTGATCCGGCCCATTTGGGCAATCGAACCTCGCCAAGCTTCTGTCAATGGTCTGCGCTGCTCTTCAACGTCCATCTCCGACTTACCCACCTTCAATCCATTTGCTCGACCTTGAGTGCAACCGTCGACGGCTGGACCAGTCTATCAGCATATAATCTTTGCCAGTCCAGCGAGTCTTCTCTCTCACGGATGGGATACCAACACGCAAGCGGCTACAAGACCAAAACCGCTACGTATCCTATAGACAAATCGCAGCTTCTTTCCGCTGTGCCTCTTTGGCCTCATGAGCGGTTATCGGAGCTGGTACAGTCCGACAAACCCACGGACTTCGCACAGCCCGGGGTGCCTGCGCTTCTCTCGGTGATGTACATGCGACTCTACCTTACCCAGACATGCACGCAGGATCTGATCTATCTGAATAGCATCGGTGGCATACTGTGACGAGGATTGCCTCGGACATTGAATCGGAACAGTCAGCCGTAGCAGCGGCCTTGGAACTCCAGGGACGACCGAAAGGAAGAAGCAAGACAGTATGAAGAGTCGCCTGTATTCAACGTCGCGACATCAGTCGCATCTGTTAGGCACCATGTTGGACGGCGTCTCCCGTGCTTCCCTCGTTCTGGGGAATAACTCCATGGCCCGATGACTGAGCTTGTACGATACGCCATTCAATCAGTACCCTACGTTTCCCGCGCACAATCAGATGAACGGATGGCACAAACACACTCGGACTCTCGTCGATCGAATCTTGATCATTCCGCATCACCACTTGCTGACCATCTCTTCATGTCGCGCGAACTTCTCGCCGACTCACCCGAAAGCGCTCGCAGATGCTCGGGCGGTTTTAGAGCTGCGAAGACGGGATTGATCGATGATTGAGTACGAATCCGCGCAATCTAGCATCACTCAATAAGTGAAGAGCCAAGGTGCTTGTACTCGAGCCTCACGGCGCGCTCCCTCGCCTCAACGAAGTTCGGTCAAGATGATGTCGATAGCTCAAGCGCTCTTTACCTTCGCGGTGTGCTTCCCTTACGCCCGGGCAGCAGAACTGCCCTCCAAATCGACGACCGTTGGCGCCCTTCTCGTCGGCTGGGGTCTTTCTATGCTTATCTTCGGCATACTCTGCCTTCAAACTTGGCTATACTTCAGCCGATACGTTACCGATTCTCCCTGGATCAAGGTTCTTGTGCGTGTATCCCTACTCTCGAGTATTCATGTACTCTTAACTGAAACATCCCAGGTCTCATTGCTATGGCGAGCACCTTCGACGCGCGCATCATCCCAATTTTCGCTCAGAGATTCTGCTCTAGGGTGCTCGAAGTCGGACATCAACTAGCGATCGGGCATGCTTGCTGGCGCTATCTGGTTGTGTGCGTGGGCAGTCGAAGCATATCCCACTGCCATTGATTGCTTTCGCAGAGACTATGGCTCGCTTATTGCTATCCTGACAGAGAAGACGGTGGCGTAAGGTCGTTTAGTCATCATCTCGTTGACATGTCTTGATGATGGGGTGTTTCATAGGAGCCTAGGCGTGCGTACCCGTATATCCGAGCCAGGCCTCATCTAATCTGACGCATCTGCGCAGGCTGTTGTGATTTTGGGGGTATGTGCCCTCGTCTGTGACCTCGTGTCATGGCGAACTTCGATATCATAGGTCATAGTCGGTACCATGGTCAAGATCTTCCTCGGCTGGCGTATCTACAAAGGTGAGCCCGCCGTACGAAAGGCGCTCATCTTTGTTGACAGTTGTCTACAGTGAGCGGTAGATATGAGTGGATAGTGATCGTCGTGCGTGCGCATCAAGTCCGACCCACTCTGCTATATGCTCATCGTTGTTCAGAGCTTGCTCGCCTTAGCTCAGATGGCACTCGGGATTGGTGGGTCTTTAATCAAGGAATCATATGTACGTGTATATGCAACTCATCACCTGCCGCCAGCGTTCGCCGTGCAGTCGTATGTGATACTCAAATCGACGCGTTGCGGGGCATCTCACTTATAGATCAATCAGGGTGACTCTGACCGTCGACAGACTTGTCATTCTCACGGTATGCTCTTCTACTCGATGCATTCTACGAATGCTCAATATCATCCATAGACACTACCGACCATAGCTCTCTCGCTAGGGGCGGCAACAGATGTCATCATTGCGCTCGTTCTCAGTTTCTATCTGCACACGATGCGCACTGGCTACCAGAGATCGGAGAGACTGATTGACAAGCTTATCATCTTCAGGTGCTCAGTCATCTTGTACTATACCTCGCCTATGCTGATGGTTTCTTCAGTGTCAATACCGGGGCTCTCACATCTGCCTTCAGTCTATCTGTTGCCATTTTGGTGCGGCAGACGTTCCGCCATGTCACAGATACCCACAGCTAACACACCTTAGTTTCGCTTGATGCCTGATAACTTCGTCTTCATCTCCATGTAAGCCTTCCTTAGCTGCTATCTCTATAGAAATTGACATTCTCGTCAGCTACTTTCTGGTCTGCAAACGTGAGTCCACAGTCCATCAGCTGAAGTCGCCGTGTTTATCATTGGACTAGTCTATTCCAACTCGTGTCTAGCTACGTGAGTCGCCGATCTATAGCTCACTTGCATGCGCTCATCTGTCTGAGCTAGACTCAACTCGCGAAGGGTCAGCGGTCGTGGCCGGGACCACGAGAGCCGTTCGTACAGCTCCAGTCACGCCCTGAGCTTCCGCGCGCCGCATCGCGCTTCCAACGTACCTGTCAATGTAGCCGCAATCAAGCAGGCACAGGTAAGCCATGACACGTGTGTGGACTCGTTCTAGCGCTCACCTCAAGCTACGTCTAGTCCGTTATCTGTATTGGTGTGCATCATGAGACTGAGATTGCTCAAGATCATGAGAGCATACCTTCAGGGCGGATGTCTAATCAGGAGGTCGAGAGGCCGGATAAGTATGATCAAAGCGCTTCCTGGTAGTCTTGACATCCTTGTACGGTCGCACACAGCCTGGACCGCTGCTGGCCTCCACGTGTACTCAATACCGTCCCCTCTGGTTTCACAATGTTGTTGTTGTACAATGTGCTGAATCGCGTGTTCTCTATCATTATCACCGCTTCAATGTTCAATCTCAGTCCGATTGCACGCTGGAGTGAACCTACTTCTCTTCGCTTGAGGTCCTTGAAAGCGCACCGCCCCACATGTATATGCGCACGGTCATACTCTAGCCCCTTAAGAGCTCGCTGCCGATGTCGCTGTTTCCATACCCTTCCCGGCCCTCATGGTAGATCAATTTCATACAGCGCCACAGATAGGTCTTGAGATGCAAGAGATCCGGTGGCAGCTAGCGATTCGACCTTCCGAAAGGGATGCCTCTGGCTCAAGCGCTCAGGGTGCATGAGGTTTACAAGAGCCGCTGTCTTCACTGGCTAGCGAGTAATGCGTGAGCACGCTTGTACTCAAAGTAGTATGGAATGGTAGCCGCACTCCAACTTTCGAGCTAGTAGGTACATGACGTTTAGAGGTACACCGCCAAGGCCGTCAAATAAGCCGTGAAGCTTTCTCCTTGGCTATGAATAACCTCCCGAAAAAGACAATGGTGGTGCCGGCCTCGCGTACTGTAGTCCTCGGAGATGGCAAAAGCATTCGCTTAGCTTGACCGAACATGACCCTGCACACGAGGATCCCAGTCCAATCGCCAATAGAGGATCGTGTTCGTGGTCAAGTACAGTTCAATCTCTCGTAATGCATAAACTAAAACAATTCACTAGATAATGTACAGTACCTCAATTCACTTGATCGGATGTGCTGAGATGTGAGTTATAGTAGTGAGACCAGCCTCAGCAAAACAGTACCCTACTTCTGTGAGTGAGTCTGGTACTGTCAATATTTTACGATTAAAAATATTTATGCATTACGAGAGATTGAACTGTATGTACATGAGGAATGTCCGCAGGATGTTCCGCCTAGGTGGCCACCGGGCGTGCTGGCAGATGCGCTCTTTCTCATGCCGTGAGTGGGTGAGAGATTGCGTGCAACGGATAGCACAATGCAAGTCCGCAATGCAGCGATCTTGTAGAGAAAACGAGAGCTCAATCAGAAGAAGAGTGGCAGCCGACATGATACAGTGGCCGAGATCGCAGGGACGTATGGCCAGGTATCACTACCACCGAGCATTACATCTCCCAGATAGCTACCGGCAAGTGGGTCTCATGCGATATACAGCAAGATCAGAATCGAGCACTGCTCTTCGCAGAGGTGTTGTGGTCGAGGTGAAGTTAATATCGCGCGGTAAAGGGCAAGTCGGAAGCTTAGCCCGAACGCTTGTTGTTCGGCCGCCGGCCATGCCCGATAGTTTTCTCACGCAACTTCCCTTTCCGAACTGAGGATAAGTACTCGACACAAACTTCCATGCATCATCATAGCACTGCGCGCTCGGGCGCTCCACTGTGCATAAAGGGGTTAGATACACAGTACACACCCCTTCCTGCGGCGAGTTTATCGGTTCTAGGCGACTCCTCGCATGGTGTATGGTTACAGCAGATTCCCAGAACATAAATCAGACAGGGATCATCGCCGTGATACAACGCTTGCGCCCTCAAATTGCTGAACGTATCCATCTCCTTGAGCGCTTCTCCATTCAGATCTTTGGCTTGCTCATCATGATGCCTTCTCAGTAGCTGGGATTGCGGATGTTGCTAACGCGTACCTGAACGGTCCTGAAACATTGAACGGCAATCGTAGCTATCAAACCCGAAGGTAGTCGAAACCGCTCGGCGATTATGTCGCTGATACTCCTTGTATCCTGTCAGAAGGGCCCAGCCTATATGCGAACAAGACGTTCGGCGTGGCAGGGCGAGAGTGCTGTGCAATCGCCTCGGGTCGCATGGCAGACTCCCGGATAGAGGATACATATGAACCCCCCTCGTCCTCTCTTGTCCAACGTACAGCCTAAGCTCGAACGTCCTCTGTCTGCACCGATGTCTGCCAATAGGCTGTATGCGCACCCGCTCTTTAGGGACGTTGATCTAGGGCGTATGACCGTTGACGAGCGGGTCTCCCTTTCATACAAGCGCGCTCGCCTTGTACTCGAGACGTATCGTGAGGGCGTCCCCACGATAAGGTTTTCTGCTTAAGCTTACAATGACTCTGCTAGAACTCACGCCTACGGATGTCTTGGAGTACGGTCCCAAGTTCTGGGATCTACACCTCGATCCCATTCTTGCGACTGACTTCGCGTGCTTCACTATTCTCGCTGCTCATATCAACCTGGCGGTCGGCACCATCGCGCGATACCTTAGTCGGCGTCCCGATCTTCGGCCGTTAGTCGACTCCATGCTACGCCTCGACACGGTTGGTATCTACCTCCTGAGCGAGCGTGGGCACGGCTTGGACGCGTTCAATAACGAGACCACGGCTACCAGGATGCCTGGTGGCGGTTACATCCTCAATACTCCGAGAGAGGAAGCCACGAAGTATGTCTCCCTTGGATCTGCTTTGCCTGCCTCTCAAACACTCTTCTAGGTTCATGCCGGCCAGCACACCCCTCTTCGGTATTAAGAAGGTTGCCCTTGTCATGGCACGCCTCATAGTCGACGACGAGGATCGCGGTCATCGCTGGTTCATAGTGCCGATCTGCGACGAGAAGCGATTGTACACCGGCGTGGTCTCCAAACGTCTTCCGACTCGCAGCGGCACCTCTCCGCTCGACTTCTCCCTCACATCATTCCACAACGTGCGTCTGCCGGAGAGCGCACTCCTCAGCATGTCGCTTGAAGCGCCCACCTCGCCTCGCGACGCTTGGTGGCGGGAAGTCTGGCGCATCCCCTTAGGAAGCATGGCCGTTGCTGCGCCATTCGTTCAGGCCATCAAGCACACCGCGTATATCGGAGGTTCCTACTCCCTTCACCGAACCATCGTCGGACGCGGGCCGGTCCCCATTCCCATCATCACCTTTCCCACGCAACAATGGCCCATTATGTCTGCTGTAGCAGTTGCGAACGTTCTCGAGGCCTGGTATAAGGACGTTATCGGTCTCGTCGTTGGAGATGCCCTCGATCCTCGCGTCCGTCACGGGCTCTCTGTAGCGGTGAAGACCACCATCTATCGTCACTTTCAGTCCTGCGCAGACACTATATCAGAGCGCTGTGGGGGACAGGGTACCTTCGAGAGCAACTATATTGCGCGCGCTATCGTCAGTATCCTTCCTTCCTCGTATACCAAGACGATTACTAACATCCCCCGCCCAGTGTGACTGCAAGGGAGGGGTGATCGCCGAGGGAGACATCCTCACCCTCTGCATTCGTCTCTTCTGCGAACTGGTGATCGGGCGTTACGCACTCCCTCTGCCACGCTCGGAGGACTCCCTACTTGCCCGACACGCACATTCTGTGCTCGATGAAGCCGAGGCCGTCGCGAAGAGCCTCCCCGGAGGCCATCACGGCGAGGAGTTCCAGTCGCTCATGCTTCCGCAAGCTGAGAGCTCTGTCGCCGCGTTCGGGCATGCGATGGCGTACCATGCTGCGCGGGAAGCCGGAGTTCCACAACGTATGCTTGACATCTATGAGCTCAGCGTCATGGAACTCGACTCTGGCTGGTACACTCAGCACGCCGGTATCGGGAAGTACGAGCTACTGAGGATGCGAGCGGACGCAATGAAGAAGGTTCTTCCTCTCCTTCGCGAGGACCTCGACAACTTGGGAGTGGAGAAGCACGTCCAAGCCCCGATTGTCAGCAGCGAGCTTCTCAAGGCGAGCATGGATAGGTTGCCTACTTATCGCGGGACAGCGGTGGAGGAGCTGGTCGACGTTGATACATCCGGACTTATATCGGCCAAGTTGTAAGTATACATTATGCTCAGGTCGCTATATCGCCTTCCTTGATACAATTCAAGGCTAATCAACCCCCAAGTGTGGATCTCTTCTTGAAATGCACATTCCAAGCTATCTTGTCATTCGATAGTCTATAGATATGATATCCACCGCGCGATAGTTCATAGATGCCTGTGGCGTGCATAGCGAAGAGTTATAGTTTAGCTTGTTCCCAGCGTGTCATGATCTCCTCCCTTTTGCCCTGTATCTCCTCAATGTTTTTGTATCCGCACAATCCGAGCGTGATCTCCGTATCGGCCAGTAGTCCACGCAGAACCTCTTCGACGCCCTGTTGACCAGATATTGCGAGGCCGTACATGAAAGGTCGAGCCACTAGAGTTTAAGTCTATCAGACGCAGAAGACGTAGAGCATAAGGGGCACCTACCGAGCACGCCCTGGGCGCCCATGGCAAGAGCCTTGATGATATCCGTGCCGGTGCGAATGCCAGAGTCAAATAGGACAGTGAACTTTCCGGTCTTCTGCGCCCGCAGCACTCGTGCATCGGCAGTGATCTGCTCCAACGCAAAGAGCGACGGGATGGCACCGTCGACCTGGCGCCCGCCGTGGTTCGATACGACGATGCCGTCCGCGCCGACGTTCATGGCCGCGTGTGCGTCTGCGACTGACTGTATGCCCTTCAAGACGAGCGGGCCATCCCAATTATCGCGCACGAACTTGACGTCGTCCCAGCTCCTGAACAGTCCCGAGTTCGTTTGCTTCAACCATTCCGAGCCGAGGTATGTGGCGTGCAACGCGGCCTCGTCGCCTTGCTGGAGGAGCTTGCGATGCTTGTCTTGATCGAAGGGGAACGTGATTGGAGGGTTGGGGTCCGCTTTCAGTCCTAGAGAAGTCATAAAAACCGGGTCGGATACACCTACGGCGATGCCTACGCCCGCGAGGAAGGGTAAGTAAGCCGTGTCCAAGTCGTGCGGTCGCCATCCAAGCAGCATAGTGTCCAGAGTAATGACGAGCGTTGTGAACCCAGCTTTCTTTGCGCGCACCAGTAAGGATAGAGTGATATCATTGGAGGAGGGCCTGAAGGGATGGAATCAGTCAAAGGTATTGTGACGCTCGGATGCGAGACACTAACCAGTATAGCTGATACCAGCGATTTCCGCCGCCGTTGACTTCGGCGACTTGCTCGATCGTGCGAGTGCTGGCGGTGCTCATGATGTACGGAACACCAACTTCCTTTGCTGCGCGAGCCGCGGCTAGTTCGCCGTCCGCATGCAATATACCCTGTACGCCAACGGGTGCGACGAAGATGGGGCTTCGATATCTGATACCAAAGATTTCAGTCTACAAGAGTGCTATGTTCAGCATCGCTTTGAGCAAGGGTACGGGAAAGACATACATCCAGGTTTCGTTCTGAGGCATCGCGCAACATACGCGGTATGATGCGCCAGCTATCGAGCGCTCTGCGATTTGCGGCCTCTGTCGAGCCGAGTCCAGCAGAACCGAAGGTATACATGAACGCAGCTGGTGATCGCGAGTGGCCATCAGTCGTAGTAAACAGAGTCCATGCGCGCATCTACGCACCATGGTTATCCTTCGTAACCTCGCGTGCTTTCTCAGCCAGCTTGGCCGCGTCGTAGGTCGATATACTCGGCCGTTCACCTGACGCGTACAGCGTTCGCATGTACGACGACCACGACGGGTGTTCGGGATCCTCCAACTTGCTGTCCTTTGCGTGGGCCATAGGTGCTAGTGCGGGGTGAACGTCGGACAGCAGTGGGTCTGGTCACCATCTCTTCACAAGAGCCCTTTATCGGATATCCGGGCGTAGCATCCCAGGCAGCGGGTCAGACGACATGGTACTGATTGCGGCGCCACTCATGACGATGGGACAAACCAGGACCTAGGTCCTCATGACAGGGAAGTACGGGCGACGAACACATCTGCATCCGATGCGGCCGGCAAATGGAAGCTCCCAGCCCGGAGGTTCAGAAGACTGGTGTGGCCATTCGCAAATTCGTAGTGAACGGAGTCGACCATGCTGAGCGTTACACAGAACGGGCGGGCGTAAAACGGGCGCAGTCGTGCGACATATAACATCCATACTGGTCTGGTGGGCGTATCACTTCAAGTCCGAGTTGTGACGCGCATTCGGTTACTGGGCGGGCCGCTGTTCCGCGCCCGATCAATAGCGATCAATGCAGCTTCGCTGGTGCCTTTGTGGGTTCGTCTTAACCTCCATCATCACCGACGTTGGTGTAGTACAGCGCAATACATGTTTTCCATCTTTCGAAACGTATCAGGACGCGACAGAGCGGCTCTTCGCCTGCCAACAGTATCACCACTCCCCGACGCGCTCCATCTCCGACGCTGAGCGCAGATGAAGTCCTTCTATGCCTCTCACCGGCAGGCTTCGAATCCACCAGCCGTCTCAGCCCGAGGCAGCTCATCGTCATGGTCATATCACCCGAATTAGGGCGATGACTTCAGGCTGTCTTCTTCCGTAGATGTCAAGCTCTTCTGCTGGCATATTCCTTCATTTACAATCTTCAGTGCAGCGACGCGGCACTGACATGCGCGAGTAACGAACTGTGAGTATCCCGACCTTTCCCTGATCAACCTGCATAGTCATATCATTTCTAGCAGCCAGGGCACTTTGAAATCCAGTACTCTATGAACGGGAGCTCCGGAACCAAGACATGCCTGTTGCGTAACTTTCGACGCGTCGCCGTGGGTCCTATGTGGCGCCCCGTCTGGACGTGAGCGCGCACGAGCGCTTCGTGCAATTCCTTGCATTGGGTGAGGATCGTTCGATCATTTATCGGGCCGACTGAGTTTATCTTGCAGAGCGAGCATGAGTTGGGCTTCAATATCTCCCAGAAGTAGGCGTACTTACCCTGCGGCTAATCCAACTCCGCTTTGTGGGACAACCGCCAATCTCGATCTCCACGTCGTCCGGTAGGATGTGCATGGACAAGCGCTTCTGTTTATCAGCACCTAGTCTCTCGAGCAGTGACTGGTGCAGATGGACTGGCGGCGCGATCCATGGAGTGCCGTGTCGATGGGTCTTGAGCCAGTTCTCCTCGATCTGACGATGCTCTGTGAGCGTGAGAGTGCGCGTGCGCCGGCTGGGGTACCGTTGAGCAGATGTACGCGTCCGCTTCCCACCAATATCACTTGAAGCACCTCCGGCTGAGGTGATGGGAGCTTCGTCGGCGACCTCATCCGAAGGCGTGGTCTCATCAGCCTCTTCATCTGTATCCTCGCCCTTGTCCATCTCGTCGTCTGAGTCAACATTGATGTACTCCATAGGTGGCTTTTCATCCTCTGCTCAAGTAAGTTGTATGAATCACCGCGTATCATGCCATGCCCTTACCTTCTTCCTTGACAGGGAATGTGACGGGCCTCCGAGTCAAGAACATCTGCTTCTGTTGTGCCCTTGCTGTGAGAGACCCTCAGCATCCTCTTTGCCTGTATGGACATGGAAATCCCGTACCTGCTATATCCCGGGACGCCTCGACGGCAACTCTGATGTACTTCGCAACCCTAGCCATGGACGTCCATGATTCGCCAGCGAAGTGGCAGTATTCATCCCCTCCATCACCTTCGATGCGAACTTGGAGAGCAATGTCTGTATCCGGTACGCCCAAGAGCTCACGGAAGCGTTCGCGAACTGAAGCAAGAGCATCCTGACAGACCGTGACTACTGTACGCCTCATGTTCAGATACAGGCTCACATACCTTCTCCGTCTCGAGCTTATTGCGGACGATACCATGCGTCTGTCCAGCAAAGGTTACCAGCACAATCGACTCGGGCACGACCGCCGCGAGTCTTGAACCCCCATGCGATGCAGTCTGCTCGGGGGCCTGCATGGCGGGACGAGAAGTATGCGAGGGTGTGAAGACACTCGTACGCCTTTGCGTCTTCGTTTTCATATTGACAAGTAGGCTCATTGTGGGTCATGACGGAAGTGCCTCTTCCGTGGTCCTTTGTGGTCGGACGACACGCTTTCAACAAGGCCTTGGTGGGACACAAAGACACGACCTGCCATGTTGTATACCTGACTATAATGTATCTGTACGGCCGTAGTTATTGTCCGAGCGTTGTCGGCCATGAATAGGACACCGGTCCGGTGTATGATGCACCATCTATGTCCTAAGTGATAGATGTTTCTTGGCGTACATCGATTTCAATCACAGACTGGGCATGTTATCCATGAGTGGAAGTCCCCAAAAGGCGAACGTGGAGCGTACCCGAGTCAGTTTGGTAGTATCCACATCGATGGGCACATTGTTTGATCGGGGGTTGAAAAACGCCAATGCGTGGCTGGCGACATGAGACGCACAGTCTTCGTCTCGATCGTGGCCCTTGCCTCTCCGCGAATTGAGCCTGCATAGAACTTGTCAATATGTGCGGTACTAGTTAGTCCTAGCTACAGTCAGCTCACGTTGCTAGGCAAGAGTTGGAGTATACTGGTTGGTGCAAAGTAAGTCTGACGCATGGATTCGAAAACGATCTTACTCACATTTACAAACAAGGAAGTAGCTACAGGAAGGTCAGCATGCATAGGTTGATGATAGGCAATACTCTTACACAGAGATGAAGACGAAGTTGTTCGGCATCGTTTGGAACTATAGGCCAAGGCTTCAGCTGTCGTAGACAAGAGCAGCCAGCGCCTCTCACCAGAACAGCAACACATATACTGGCTACCGCAGTAAGAGCTCCTGTATTGACGCTTAGATCTACATCAGCTATCATTCGTAAGCCACAGTGAGAGATAATACCTAAAGATAATCAACCTGTCGATCAACCTCTCAGATCTCTGGTAGCCCGTGCGCATTGTGTGCAGGTAGAAGCTGAGCACGGTAGCGATGACCACGTCTGTCGCTGATCCTAGCGATAACGCTATTGTTGGTAGCGTCTGCATGCTCGATGAGATACTGCGAGTACGGAGAGGTAGAAGGGAGCCACCGTAAGTGTAGTTAGTTCATCAATAGAGTGACAGACTGGGAAGATGCCGTCAGAGTGGTCAGTTAAGATGGCCCGATATGAACGTACGACCGCGCGGCAAACGCTGAGACGGGTGAGCTGTATGCCCTCGCTACCGAATACGACGTAAAGACATACCAATCCCAAGCGCGAATTGGGCGATCGAAAATACGACCTATGATCTATAGTGAGCCTGGTGAGGATGCATGTCTGAATGCTTCATCTACGTACTGTAGCCACAAGCCAATGATATTTGCCGCTCACTTGACGCATCCCCAGATCTTAACTCATGCGTATAGTGAGCAATTGGCGGGTCTTACCTCTATAGATGCGCCAGCCCAGGAAGATCTTGACGATGGCAGCCACGGTCACCTAAGAGACTCCTGTCAAGCTAGGTCCGAAGTCGGGACAGGAAGAGCGTACACCCAAGACGACTACGACCTATGCAGCACATCTTTATCAGCTATAGTCCCGTCAAGCGGAGGAACTAGGACTCACAGCAACGCTCCTAGAACGTACACAAGACTCAACAGACGTGAAGATAGATGCATCATCTAACGCACGATACAATCCGCTCAGACAAAGCTCCATCCAACGAACCATGGTCCCTACCACTAAGACATCAGTTCAACCCTACATGCAGAATTGAATGTACGAACGTTACGAGGTAACGCCAGCTGAAGTGTCCTATAGCGATTTGATGGCCGATCTCCAGTGCCCTTCGCCCGCACCATCTTCATATCACACGGCCAGGTATTGAGATGGGACTACTCACCATAGTAACGCGACCTAAGGTAGCGGTGACTATCAGTATGTAGAGCGACTAGATGCTATTAGACAGCATGCACGTACGAATAGCTTGAGCCATGGAGAATCGGAGCTAAAGTGACTGAAGTATAGCCATGTCTGCAGACATAGTATGCCGAACACCAGCATCGACATACCCCAGCCTACGAAGAGAGCTCCTATCGTTGTCCACTTCGAAGGTAGCTCGTTAGCTATAGTAGATATGGACATCTCAGACGCCGGAGACGCCCTGACGGTCAGCATGGTGGTGTAGGAGGCAGATGAAAGGGTGTGGGGTTCCGTCACAGGCGGCGGAAGTTCTCACAATGTATGGCGCATCACTCTGTCAGCAGAGCAGTCTCCAGGTAAACAGGTCAGGAATGGACGCCACAGCGTGAACGTATGATACACACAAATCACTACTACAGTCCCCCAGTTTCATCGCCGCTTCGACATCTGACTGACGACAGACCGCAAGGATAGAATATTGTGCACCGTATTGAGTTGACGTGTAGCCGTTCAACTCGATCGAACGCTAGAAGATCGCGGGTCTTGTGTAAGCTCCACAGCGAAAGTTACAACACTCGTTACGAAGAACGCACGGGGTATTGCATCAGATATCAGGAGTGTGAGGACGGTACTGGGATTGCGC